AGGTTCTCATTTTTACTAAAAGGCAAAAATCGCAAAAACAGCACCAGACGATGTTTTCCACAGCAGCGGTAAGTGGAAAGCATGTCCTGAAAGTTCATCCGCAAAGCATGTAAGAAAAACAAGCGCTTCATAACATCTGCTCTGCTTTCATTTATGTCTTTTTTTTTTTCAGCTCTATTTATGGATAAGGACAAAACAAATACCTCAAAGTAAAATCAAACGGTAAAGCTTCAAAACATGCAATTTTATCAACATTTCGGAATTTTTCATATCACCTACAAGAGCATTGTGTGTGTGAGGGTGTTTGTGGGCTTCTGGCACGCCCCACTCCCCGCTCTCGTCCACCACTGTCCTTTATCTTCTTTATCTCTCTGTATTTCCCTCTCTCTCTCTCCATTTCAATATTGAAGAGAGTTTTATTAAGGGCTAGACTCGGATGTGCCGAGGCGCTCTTAGTAATTTTCCTACAAAGTGCTTTAATCCATCACACGGCCAACATGTGGCCTTTGCAGCCATACATCATCTAAGCCCACAGAGAGAGAGCGACAGACACAGAGAGAGAGAGCGACAGACACAGAGAGAGAGAGAGAGAGAGAGAGAGAGAGCAAGCGAGGAGGTGGTAACATAATTTCAGCCCCCTCCTTCTTCAACTTCTTCTTCTTCTTCTGCTTCTTTTTCTTCTTCTCTGCGCTCGTCTCCCTCCAGAGTTTCCCAGCTGGGATGGAAAGCACATCTTCTCCACATATTCCTCATACAAGTCCTCTCTCCATTTACAAATCAGAGTGAGGTATGTGTGAAGATGGAGCGAGGGGAGGGGCTGGGTGGTAAGCAAGGGGAGAGAGAGAGAGGATGAGAGAGAGAGAAAATGAAAGAGATGGAGATAGGCGAGAGTGAATGAGTGTGTGAGGCTGAGAGAGAGAAAGAGAGAGATAAGGAAAATGGAGAAAAGCTTACTGGAATGAATGAAATTGGGGGACAAAAGCGGGTGATAGGAAGTCAGTGTGTGTGTGTGTGTGTGTGTGTGTGTGCTCTGTATGAACAAGGTGTGCGCGCTGTACTTGGATGAGGAAATAGAAATAGGCAGAGAAGGAGTGGAGATGAGTGGTGGGGGGCTGCGTTTCCCAGCATGCAGCTGGTGCTGAGTTGCCCTCTGTGTTGCCCCCGGCCAACACCTGCTTCCATTTTGCTTCCTCCACCCTCCTCACGCTGAGGAGCAGCGATGAACTCCGGGCCCCCTGACTAATGGAATGGGCCCTTGCTCACAACCATTAGAGGATTGGTGTCCCTTTCGGTGCCCCCGAGTGCCCTACAGTACAGAAAAGGGAGAGGAAGGGGCGAGGTAGAAGATGGTGGCAGGTCTGCCTTTTTTTTTTTTTCCCTTTTGGCCCAACACACACACACACACACACCTGGTCATAATATAACAGCCTAGAGTAATCCAGCCAGAGTAAGGCTTGACATAGCTTAGCATCTGACTGAGGCTATTTCTGAGAGGATATTAGAAAATTCTGAATTGGGTGCAGCACTGCGAGGTTTCGGAGAGGGAGCTCTCTGAATGTGTACGACAGCGGCCCCGGCTGATCTCGAAGCGTTTGTGTGATTTCATTTAGCCGGTAAATCCAGTGCTCTACCTCAATTACATCTGCTTTACTCAGATGGAAAACACACCTCTGTGTACAGAGGCAGGGGAGGGGGGGGGGGGGGGGGGGGGAGGAGAGAGGAGGGGAGGGTGGAAGCAGGGAGCGGATTGGGGGATTGAATCTCTCGATGAGCTGATAGCACGTCCGAAGACAGCGAGCCAAGCTGTGCAGCGGTAATGTTATGCTAATGATATGGTAATGATATGGTAATCTGCCGGCAGTATTCCACCTCACTGGAGAGAAGGGGAATCTGGGAGGCCTTTTACCATTGGTTGGAGACCGGGGACTTCCTGAAGTCAGAGTTCAAGACAAAACCCTTTCTCACACACACACACACAGACACACCACATTAACATGGGACAGGCACTTAATTGTCGAAGCAGTGATCTCAGCTAAAATAAAAGCAATGCAAAACATAGAGCTAATCTGGCTTTAATCGGATTTGCAAACTCTTAAGTAAGCAAGAAATAATACCTGTAAACAATGCAGTACCATGAAGACTGGGTTGGCTGCATTGTGAGTAAGCCTGCGAGCTTTATCAGCGTGTAATATCAAGTCGCTGCGACGCTGTTTTGTGTCGACATAAAGCGAAACAGAAAATCATCTATTTTAGATCGTGATCAGGGTCTCTTTTTTTCTGTGCCTGTGTGTGTGTGTGTGTGTGTGTGTGTGTGTGTGTGTGTGTGTGTGTGTGTGTGTGTGTGTGTGTGTGTGTAACTCTGCACCTGTGATGGCTGCCATTACCTGTCTACACAGAGCAGCTCTTTCTCTCGGCTTTGCAATGAGTGGGTTACACCACCGCCGCCTTGGTTGGAGCGAAAAGACTCACCATTGTGTGACAGGAGTCTCTGAATGCGCGTCGTTTATTATATTTTGCTACATTTCACTGCATCTCATCTAATTGGGAATGAGCTGATTTGCCATTTAATTTCAAGCATTGTTGACAAACTATAGCCCATCTTTAAAGCCTCCCAAATGAGCAAATGCGTAAGGCATTATATAAATGTGAATGGATCGACTCTATCACTTAGACACGCTTAAGAATCGCAAAAAGTGACAGGAAATGCTTAGGTATGTCTGCTAAAAAGAAAAAAAGAGGGACACCTGCAAAAAGCAACTGCAATGGATGATGGTAAATCTGTCCGTGTGGCATAAAGACATCATCTCGGGTATTTTGCTTTTGTTTTTCTTTGTATTTTACAGTTGCAAAATGGATATGTCAAGTCTGCACAATGGAGACATGCAATGACATTTTCCTGGATGCTGTACACTAAATCAAAGGGACCAACAATATGTTGAGTGCCAGCATGGAGACATTTGATTCCCATTCCACTCATGCAGTATTACTGCTGGAATGCCAGCAGACATCACAATCCTCCCAAGCTGGCACTGGGCTTGTCACACTTTTTATTCCACGTCAGTGTTTTCAAAAAAATTAAATAACATGTATATATATATATCTCACAGGAAAATGTGAAGCCCCTGCTTCTTCTTGATACACTTTATTTGCAGCACAGAATGCGCAAATCACTGGTGACACAATTAAAATAGGTTTGACTTAACAAAGGCGATTTAGTGTCAGTGACATTTAGCATCAGCCTCTGGCGACAGACAGGTAAAAGAAGCCAGTCAGCAGATTGGACCTGAGGGGATGGGGAAAGTGGGGGTTGTAGAAGGCTCTTGTCTGGGTTTTGGTGTTGCTGGGATGGACGACTTATTAACACAGAAACACACAATTAGTGTAAATCCTTGACAACAGACTGCCACTGTAGGCTTACACCAGGGCATCAAAGCTCCAGCACCCCTTAATTTGAATGACCAGACTATGGGTGCTGAACTCAACGACACATATAGAAAATATGTTTTGTTTTTTTTCCTCACTGAACTGTGCATATGCACAAATACAATAAGTTTATGTAAATAGATTAAAAAATTAGTGCATCATTAGTGTCTAAAAGAGGAGAAAACAATGCAGGAAAAAACAAGAGGTGTTTGTGGGTATACATGAGAGACAATGAGAGAGGGAGAGAGAGAGACAGGCAGAGAGAAAGACAGAGACGGGGGTGGACTGTCCAATACACTCCTGATAAAGGTCAAAGAGATGTTTTATTCATGATCCAGGCGGCAGCAGCAGAGGCAGCAGGGCCAAGGTTGAAATGAGCTCGCGTCCATGTTCCCTGGAGCCAGTGCTGCAAACAGCCTCACACCAGGCCAGCGGACACTCCAACTGACTGCTATCAATAATGCCAAAATGCGCACACACACACACACCCTACCCTTATCCCTCATCAATAACTTCAAATCACAAAAAATAAGAAAAATGGAGTCTTAAGTAAGACTAATATTTTGGTCTGATTTCTATAATTATATATCGAACAGTAACAGTTGTAAATATTCTAGATCTAAAAATTCACGATTTCAGTATTTTTTTCATTATTTACAATGAAACTGTCAATATGCTGTTAAATGCATGTAATATATAATATATTACGATTTTTACAGTGAACCACTTCAACTATGTGTTTATAACATTTTTTTTGGATTAGTCAGACTTTACATTTGAAAAGCACAAGTTAAACAAAATCCCTTTTAAAATCCTGAATATAACAGCGCACAGCAGGAATGGGAGTCGATTCATAAAAGTTCTTACCTTTTAAATTTCTCTCCGCTGAGAATCTTTCATGAAACATTCACAGTGAAGAGAATCAGACGAGGTTCATTTCGAAATCTCTTACACCCTTGAACCCCCTCTTTGAACTCGCTCCAAACAAAAAAGGCAAAACCTCTGTACTGCACCTAACCGAGACCAGCGCCGAGCCCTTGTTTTTTTTTAATATTTATTTATTTCATTTTTTATTTCAGTGTAGCTGGGAACTTTTTGATGGAGCTGACACAGTCTGAGACTCAATAACTAAAGTAACCTTTAAAGCACAGATGTGTCTTAATCAGAAAGATTGTAGCATCACAGATTAAAACTTGTGAAAATGGTTAAAGACCCAATAATTTCTAAAGACTTACACACTGAGCCTATTCACATACTAAGTAGGGAAGTGGGGGTTTCAGGGGAAAGAGAGGCGTGTGTGCCTGTTTGGGAGCATAGATGTGTCTTTTTATACGTGTGTGTGTGTGTTACACTGTGCGGCCAGCCCACTCCAAGCATCTTTGATCAGATATGAAATATTCACAAATGCTGCTATAATTTGATGAAAGTCAGATATCCCTCAAATAGGAAATAGAAGTCAGCTCGTTGGCAGCTCTTAAATAAAACAAAATAAAAGAAATCTTAGAATCCAGATTTAAAAAATGTAAATTGCAGGCCCTGAGGTTGGAGTAACAAAGAGATTTTAAACATGCACTGACCCGTTGTACGAACTCCAGTCCATGCTGCTCAGCCAGAGCTTTGGCAGCTCTGGTGCCTCCGTCCATTTGCACTGCATAGAAGATGAGGCAGTTGGTCCCACGGTGCCCCTCTGTGGTCACTAGGTTCCTCTGCAGCAGGCAGCCCAGCACCAGCACAAACGCAGTGAACATGGAGCCTTTAACGAGAATATCTGTGAGAATTAGATCCATATTTTCTTTTTTCCCAAAAAAAAAAGAAAAAAAAAATAGAAACTCTTGGAAATTATGCATGTTTTAGTGCACTGTGTAGGGATCAGCCCAGAGTGCTACATTACATAATGTTTTAAGCAGACACCTTGCCTGAAGTCTTCAATGTCAGTCAAACCTACAAAATAATCAGATTGTATTTGTGTATCGGTTTTGGTGTCATTTTGAAAGCACAAATGACAGAGTACATTTTTGGCAAGCCCACTAATTATTTGATCAAAAAGTTGTTTCCGCCCTTTAATGTCAGGCATCATTTTTCTCTTTCAAAATGCCACCTAAGGTTATTTCGCATACCCGTGCTCTTCACTGGATCTTTGTAATATCTAAAATCTGCAATTATATACATGCAACAAAACAAACCCAAACACCTACTTTTTTCTTTTCTTTTCTTTTCTTTTTTTTTACATATTATCATAACACTTCATATACCATCTAACTACACAAATGAGTTGACACAGTTTAGGATTCTGCATCTCAGTACAGAGTATTGAACATTGGCAATTGTGAAACAATTTGCCCACAGCCACCTCCTCTGTACTTCTGCGTGAATTCCACCGAGGCTGCCACCTACAGCATGTGAACCACCCACCTGTAGCCACACAGAGTGAAACGTCCAGGAGTTATCTTTCACCCTGTGCGATGAAAGCTAGAACTCTGGCATCGGGGGCCCCAAGCGAGACAACACACTCTCTCCAGTTCCCAACCCACACGTTTAATCTCCTGGCCTTGATGCAAATGCTTCTGAGAGCAGAAAACACTGCAGTGCCCTCATTGCGTGAACTAACTTCCCTCTTTAAGCAAAACAGGAACTTTATCAGTCTGTCTTTATGCTCGTACTTTTCCTGTGAACAATGATGGAACAAAAAAAAAAGTTGCCACGTTGCTCTTGAACAGCATCTACTGAAAGACTAAAACAGCCGATGTACTGCTGGACGAATGCCGCGTTGAAGAATATTAATTGCTTAAACTCCCTGTCCTTTCACCACATTACACAATCAACATTTACTGTTGATCTGCCAAGTAGGCCATTTTTCAGTTTTATACATTAGCTTACATTAAATGCAATTAGAAACGCAATCAGGCAAAGTGCTGTTTCCAGCGCGTATGTCTGCTGCCCGTGCAAAGAGCTCCTAAACTCTAAAAGGTTGCTTCTAAATACAGCTGCTCCTATTATACAAGCGACTAGTTGAGTAAGGAGGAATCATTTTAAGCCACGCGTTATGCAAACAATGCTTAAAAATAGTGCACGCAAGACATAGAACAAAATATATCGGACTTTTTGGAAGCCTGATGAACAAAACAAGCGGTTCTTTTAAATCCCTTCTTGAGAATCGTGATGGGAATTCTTAACAATGATTTGTTTTATGCGCAAAAACAATAATCCAACGTTATCACTTGCAGTGCCGGTATCTAATAGTGTTAATGTGCAGCATCTGTGGTTGAAAAAAATCTTTCTACTTCTTCATCAATTCTTTCAGCCTCTTTACTTTGAGAAATGCACCCGCTAAGATGCAGCAAAACTCTGAACCAGACGATTAAGACATCTCCGTCTATGAGTGATTCTGTTTGTGTGTTTATCTGACTCCTCGTCAAAGTGCCTCCTCCTGCAGCGTTTTTCGCCCCCACCCCAAACAAAAAAACAATGCAGCTGACCACTGTTTAAAGTCTGCAGCATCATTCAGCTCCTATCTCCCGAGCCACTGATTGAAATCGATAACCTCACTTGGGGCTCGAGCCCCAGTCAATCCCACTGAGGTGCGGGGCCGGGAGCGAACACCCCACCCAACGAGTAACCAGCCCTGGGCAGAGACAAAGTAGACAGGGGGAGAGGGAGGAGGGAAAAAAGAGGGCTCATGTGAGACTGGAGTACAGGGGAGCCACATTGAACAGTGTCAGGGCCTCGGGGCCTACTGGGATGCTGATAAAGTACCTGGACATTTTTATAGACAAACTACTTATTTCCGTCCTCATATCGCTTGGGAAGACTGATAACTTTATATTCCTCTCAGGCAGAGGAAAGAAAGGGAGGAGGGGGGTCCTTTCAGGAGTTTAATTGATCAAACTGTAGCCACAAGGTTTTTTTTTTTCTAGAGATAAAAGAGACTAGCACTCTCTCCTGTACAATACAGAGATCTTTTAGAAAGCAGACCCAATGAGGGGAAAAAAGTGTAACTCATTATGCAAAGTCATTACAGTCCTCTGACTACCCTCCTTAAAGAGAAGGCGTTAATGGTAAAACTGTTCATGATTTTCCGAGGTCAAACTACTGGTCACAGGATAATATTATTTCACAATGTCCACATTATCGCTCCAACCAAACTTTTTAGATGGCCGTTTTAAGGTCAGACTTAAACACCATGTCTACTTAGAGTGTTTAACATTAGTATATTACCATAGTAATATTGCCCAGGGGACATGTTGGTAGAGAGCGAGGGGGGGGGGGGCAATGTCTCAATTTTACAATGGCTTTACAGTAGAATAATGTTCTTTCTGTCATGAGTCAAGAGAACAAACGCAATAAAAACTGAGCCACAATAATCAACCCCATCTCGAGCCATCAGCAAAATGGCAACACATATGCAAATGTTGTTAAATATTTTTCCTCTTTTTGTACATTGCCCTGAAAATACTCCAGAATCTTACGTTCATATGGATAAAGCAGACTTGTAAAGCTTTACAAGTCATATTGGACAGATTTTGTTGTCCGTGGAGAGAGGCAGGCTAGCAATTTTCCAGTGTTTAGCAAATGCCAGGCTGTAATATAAGGAGTCCTTGAGCAAGACTTAAACCCCTGCAGCAGCTGAACTACAGCTGACCGTAACTTCTGACCTTGTAGTGCGTTTGTGGACGGGTGCTCCATTTTTATCACTGACAAACAAATACTGTGGAGGCAGATACTTCAACAATTTAATGATAATGTTTCTCAACATAGTTTGGAAAATAAGAGCACTATCAAAGAATTTCTATATACAAGGTCAAAGAAACTGATGAACTCTGGACATTAAAAACTGATGCCTATACTAATATTTGGTGGGATACAAAAACAAAAACAAAACAAAAAAACAGTTTTCCAATATATCCAATATTATTTCAGGCATTCAAAATATAAACATATTTCCAAAACATCTGTCTAGTTATTCATGTACTCATTTAGTCTCTTCCAGACTCTGCTCTGATCAGCTGGCTGTTGGTTTCCCCATTTCAAACACTTATCTTGCCAAAGGGAAGTTGCAAGTGTCAAAAAAATATGCAGAGTCAATACTCATAACCAGAGGTGTGGACTCGAGTCACATGACTTGGACTCGAGTCAGACTCGAGTCATTAATTTTATGACTTTAGACTTGACTTGAAAAAATGTTCTAAGACTTGTGACTTGACTTGGACTTTTACACCAATGACTTGGGACTTGAATTGGACTTGAACCGGTTTACTTGAAAAGACTTGATATTTTACCCCAAATATAAAATTTAACATGCATATTATATAGAGATTGAAAATGTGACGTCATTCACGGGTAGAACCGCAAAGGATTCTGGGAACTCGTGGCAAGAGGTACAGCGCACGCAGGCTTTCAATTGAAATCACAGCGATAAAAAGAAACACAAAAATGTCAAGAAGCTGTTGTATTATTAACGGCAATAGCCGGTCACATGACAGCCACGGGAAGCCGACGGGTAAAGAGATCGGTTGTTATCAGATTACGTCGTTGAAGAGAAATTGTTCGAGCCATGTTTCCAAAGTAACAAAGACGCGACGGATGGCCTGGATTGCAGCCATTCAAAGATCAAATATAACGTCCCAGAACACTCCAGCTCACAGGTTAGTCTGCTCCAAGCATTTACACGAAGGTCAGTGTTTTTTAGTAGTTAATACGTCATTTTTCTTAACATAATTGGTGATATAGGTTACAAGTAAGTCTGGCGCTGAACAGAAATTGTCGCGCTATGCTCCTTTATTTATTGTGCATAAATAGTGAATTGTCCTGACACAATATTGCGTTTCGCTTCTGTTATTATGGTACATTGACAAAAACATATACTTTTATTCACAGGATAAAACAGGTTTTTTGTATCACTAATTGCCCAGTACGATTACAGCATACAATATTATTGTCACTGCTACATTTCTGTGATGCTACCAGAAATTATTTCCACTACTAATTAATTACCGTTGAGCTCAAAGGTCCTATTAATAAACGGTTAATGAATGTGTATTTATGACGACAATTTGTGAGACTGGTAAACTTATGATACGTACGATGGTCTTTACTTTCTACACGGTGCATTTCAAGGTCCTGCACCCATCCGTCGGTAAACTCTACCTGGGCTTGTTGCAGTGACCTGAAGTTACTAAACTTCATGAGTGTATGCACTCACTCCAAGAACCGTATGATTATAAATATACATATAAATATGCTAAGATGAGATAGCTGACTTCATCTAACTAGCAAATGTTGTCCAGGCTACGTTGGTGATACAGTTTTTTTTAATGTGTATGATATTTTTGTCATGCGGTTTTAAAGCCGGTCCTACAACCGCATCCAAGAATAACATGCAGCTTATCTCAGAACTGTCGGTGAAAATTATTCTTGGAGCTAGGTTTAATTGAGCTGCATTTTAAAGAGGTGCAATTTCACAATTTGTGTATATTTTCTAAGTTCACTATTTTGTCATGTGTTGAGAAAAACACAGATTTTAAAATTACATGGTCTAATATTTACATTTAGCATAACTGCAACATTATTTTTTCGTTGTTTTTTTTTTTTTAAGACTCAAAAGGACTTGAAATTCAAAATTTCAGACTTGTGACTTGACTCGGACTTTTACACCAGTGACTTGAGACTCGACTCTGACTTGCCTGACATTACTTGAGACTTGACTTGAGACTTGAGGATAAAGACTTGAGACTTACTTGAGACTTGCAAAACAATGACTTGGTCCCACCTCTGCTCATAACATGGTTGAAGCGTTTTTCTCCTACCTCTTCTTTGTTTTTCAAGACATAACCAGACAGCATTCTGTACGGAGATCGGTAGTAAAGGAGTCCAGGTGAAAATAACTGGTTTCCTATGAAATTAAAAATCCTGCAGAGGAAGTCCAAAACATTTGAGTGCTTAAAATCATGTATCAAGCAAGGATGGAAAAATATTTTACTTGTACAACTACAACGGGGGCTACTCTGATTCTGTGATGGACTGGCAACCTGTCCAGCATGCACAGTCAGGATATACTCCAGGTTCATTGTGACCCTGAACTTGAAAAAGTGGTTAAATGGATGGATGGTTAAATGAAAACTACAGCAGCTGGTCTCCTTAGTTCCCAAACAAAGAGCAGTTAATGGAGCACATGGCCTTGTCCAAACTCTTTTGCAACTTTTTTTGGAACCATGAAAATTACCATAGATTTCAACATTTAAATGTTTAATATACCTTTTGTGCATTTAAAAAATGAAATATAGTTTTGGGCAAATTGGAAATTATTGCATTCTGTTCACCTTTTTATGAAAGGAGTCGCAAACGGAACTAAACAATCAATAATATTAATGACAGGTTTTTACTTTTCCTCCTTATATTAAAAACGTTGACTAATGAAAAAAAAAAACACCTATATTATCAGCATAGCTCCACCCAGCTACATCATGCATGGGGGCTAGTCAGACATAAATGGGGGACACCTGTAGTGCTGCATGGCTATGGCCATTATTTCGTTTTACAGTGTGGAACGTTTTCAGCAGATGTTGCTTCCAGTTGCTTCTGTAGCAGTCTGCCTCTAGTTATCCATATGTTGGCAACAGTGTTCTCTCCTTTACACACAGTTCATTAAGTCTATCTGGAAGCCTCAAAAGGATGCAGGTAATTACAACACCAGGTTATCACCTTAACATAATAATGTCCCACTGCATCCATTACAAGCACCAAATCCTTTTCAGAGTTCGCTGCTATTAACTGAGGATGATGTGGATTAATAAATGCATCCAGAGAACTGATGTGAGTATAGTTTAAGGTTCTCACACTGTTAGCCTCGGGTCTTGAATTTTAGTGACCCCCCCCCCCCCCCCCCCCCACCCCCCCCCCACCCACACACACACACACACAGAGACACAGCAAAAACACAAAAAACAACAAAACACCCAAACTGGTCCAGTGCATCAAAGCCTGGAAACGAGGCTACATCTGAGAAAGACGGGAGGAGGGAGTGGGGGTTCAACTCTCACTCCCTCCATGCAACACGGAGCTGTGAAAGGATAGAACGGGTTTGTAGAGTAGGAAGAAAAGAAAGCTCTTACCTTTCCCATCCAGGCGACAGAGCCCTTAGACAGACGGACTGCCTCCTGTTGAAAGCAGAACGGCAGGTCGATGCATCGTGGAGAAAAAAGAAAAATTCCGACGCGTCCATTTTTTTTTACTCTTCGTAATAAAAGATGCAAATTAGAGCATGCAAAACACCGCATCTACAGAGCACCTTCTCACAGAACAAGTCAAACGTGCAGAAATAACGATTTTGTAAGTCGGCAAAACGAGCACATCCACGGCGTGTGGCGGAAGGGGGGATTTTGTAAAGATGTGAGAATGCATTAGAATGCAAGAAATGGTGTGATGGCGAGAGGGACTGTTGGGAGAGACAGATCTGCATATGGAAATTAGGGTTAGCCTGCTTTAAATTCTTTTTCATACGGTCCATTATTTTGTATTCATTTGGGCGGAACCCCGACAGTGGGACCGAGGGGGACAAGTGACTTGACAAATCCCGGGGAAAAGTCACGGCACGGAACAGGTGCTTTGGTTCAGTGCTTTTTTGTGAGCAACTGTGTACGCACATACATGCTATGACGATAATGCTCTAAATATTTTTTCATATATCCACATAGTATTGTTTTCCCGAGTCTGTATTTAACATCTGTTATGTAAACTTAATTTCAAGTTAGCGTGTATGTCTTAACAAAGACCGAGAAGAAACTGAATGTAATTATTTTATTTGTTTAATGAGAGAGCTCACCGCTGTTAGTGGTATACAGAGGAAGTTCAGGTTGCTCTTTAATACAACTCACGATAAATACAGCTGCTGAACCGACTATAAAACAACTACAATTCTAAATATCTTAAAAGCTGCCCGGAGAGACATTGCGACAGAGGAAGCGCTTAGCAGTGAGACCTCTTGTTGTGTGTCTGTCAAAGGATTAGGTTCCTCCCAGTAGGAAACTTCGGACCAATCATCGGGCGTGGAGCGAGTGTGCGCCTGCGTAGTGTGAGCGCGCGGGACCGGCTGAAAACACAAACAGCGATGAATACTGGGAAGTAAAATTCACAAACTACTAAATATACAAGAAGCCGAACTAACAGGTTAGTTCATATTTCATTAACAGTTGTTTTTGGAGGCTTTTCTGTCTTTAGTTTGCCTGTTAAAAATAGTTTTGTTTGACTTAACTGTGCTGTCGTGTCGGCACAGCGTATGCTAGAAAGTTAACGCTAGCATTATCATGCATAAAGCGTATAATGTAGATACGTTAAGTGTTAAATTTGCACTTCGTAACTTCTATGAAATGTTTTATACTCTCATGTCGGATCCATTGTGAAGTACTTGTTCGTTGGCTAGCTATATGCAATAACATACATGCCCGTCACTTATACATTCAATAAATTCATTTATGTTGCTCCAAAGATATTTTTTCCCTGCTTTCTGCTCATGTTTCCTTTAAAACTACATCTAATTGTGCACAACTCTGCAAAATTAGATGTAGTTTTGTATGCTCTGCGTTGAGTACCAGTACTTGTATGTAAGTACAAATGTACTGTAAGGTACATTTGTACTTACAAAGTAAAATGCTAAAATATTGCTGTGAAACCCTTTTGTTTAAATTGTATGTGGTATTAAATTATACATCATCCCAGTGTATTTGTGAATAACTTGTTGAATATTTACATATGAACACAGTTTTGCAAACCACTGACAAAAAAGCATTCTCTCAGTATTTTGCGCTGTGATTTCTTTTTTTTTTTTTTTGGTCATTTCAGGTCAAATTGATTCTGCACTGACACCATGTCAGATGACTTCAGCCAGTCCCTCACCCCGCCAGTTTCCCCATTTGCAGGAGACAGTCTATGTGACCTGGCTCCAGTTCGACCACCGTGTTTCTGCTGCTCTGATGTAAAAGATGATCCCGCTGGAGTACTTTCCACAGAGGGATACGTTGTTAGAGGCTCCTTGAAACGGTATAATTACCTTCTGCCAGCTGACTGTAATCGTACAAAATTGTCTGGCACTATTTTGTGCCTGAGAAATGCTGTCAGTAAGAACAGTCTTTTATAAAATCGGTCATTTTTCTGTGTAATTTATTCAGAGGTCAGTTTTTTTGTACTTATAACACCTCAAATGTAATTCCATTTACCTCCCCTGTGATGTTGTAGCTGCTAAAGTTCCACTAGGAGAAAAGCTTTAAAATCTCACTGCAGTCATTGCATCCACTCCAGGCTACTCTTGCGTCTTGACCCAGCCCCTGCAGAATATGAGACGGACACAGTGGACATCTTTGGCTTCTCCTGGGTGACAGAGACAGCACTGGTGGAATCTACAAAACTACTGTTTGGCCTCTTCAGGTAAGGCATGATGTAAAGCATACGTTATTTCAGTCTGCTTTAACTCTTTACCCTTTGAAAGCCTATTAGAATTAACCTAGGAGCTGTCTTCTGAACTGAGCGGTTGTTTGACGCCTCCTTATAGAAATGACTGGGTGTGTATTGAGAGTTAGTGAGGGTGGTCTTTGCCTATGCAGCTACCTTTGGAAAAACCCTGATACTATTCTAATCATTGTGAAAACCTTTACTGATATGTAATGAAGCAACAAAACATGTTGTTATGGGAAGTCATCAGATATCATCTTTATAAAGGAAAGAGTTAAAATCTGTTGTTTCTACCACTTAATTCTTTTCCACGGCAGCAAAAGTGTGGTCATGAAATCATTCTTTAAAATATTTCATATATATTCCTGATACATTATTGAAAAAGACATCCTTCATATCCATTTACAGGGTCTCTTCTGTTCTGTGTTATGTTTCAGACAACGGATTTACAAGTTGGAGACTTTAGTTAAGTCCAACTCAAATGACTTTGGTAAGTCTGTGTAATCATTAGTCCAACTAACAGTCTTTTAGTTTATTGTCAGTATTTTGTTCGCACAGTAAGCCACTGTTTGCTTACATAGGCATAGTTTGTGTATTAGTTGGATATACAGGTTGTTTATGTGCATTGCTTGTTTATATAATTAGCAGAAAAAAGATTTGAAACATTTTTATGCAGGTTCTGTCAACCCCTTTGGAACTTGGATCAGATTTTTAATCCTAGTTAAGGCATATTATGTGAGGACAGAAAATGGTCTGATCAGCTTATCAGCTTGTAGGAGAGTGATAAAAACTAGTTAAATCAAGTGAAATAAGTGTAGGAATTACCGAGGGCTTCAAATATGTTAACCCTCTCAGGCTCAAATTAAACTTTTTGTTGCTAATGCACAACCAAGTCCTGCAGTGGTACTTCTGAGTAAAAAAAACAACTCATAAAATATGTATGTGGGGTAATCAGGTTGTTAGTTTTTAACTGTTGCAAATCGGCAACGCCTGCCTTGAGAGGGTTAAAGAATGAAATGTCCAGAATAAATAAAAATAATTATTCTGCAAATTAAATCCCATAATTTCTAGAGAGTTGTTTTCTATATATATATTTTTATGAACAATTTGAATGTATTTGATATGTATATATGAGCTGTACAATAGTCATTTTCAGAGTGATCTGATCTCTGATACCGTAGACATATTATGAGTACTACCTACAGCACCCTTTTGATGTTTTAGGTCAAGCTGGAAATCTCCACTATAAAGCAGAAGAACTCTGGCAAGAATGTGTTACATTTCTTCAGTATGTCAAAGTCTTTCTACACAGGTAATTTTAACACATTTTCATGTCACACTGGAACTAATAAAAACATGTTAATATATTATGGTGTCATGGAGTTTTTGTTTATTTGAATGTTTGATTGGATACCCCTTTTGCATATGTTCAGATATCTCCAGCCTTCCAGGTCCCTGGATGCAGCTCAGTCACACCCTTACGAGGAGCTGGAGGCTCAGTTCCCCTCTGCTCTTTTGGAGGAACTTTTTGGGATCACTCTCCTCGTAGGACGACTCAAAGACCTGCCTGCTAATGTTCAAAGTGCCTTTACTATACAGAATCACGGAAAGGTACGGCCAAACGCTAGTTGGTTTGTTTAGATCTAACTTGAGTAGAGATTTAATGTAAGGCATTGATTACAAAGGTGTTAGGGAGCTTAAAAACCGAAGGAAAAAAACCCCAAAGACAGCATTTAAAACAGATGCAGACAATGTGGGGCTGGCATACCAGAGTACAAGGGCTATATATTATCAACTGAGCATTAGGTTTTATGACTACAGTTTTATCACCCAGCTGATTTTTCTTCTTTTCACATTGAAATGAGAAATCTGTGTTCCTTTTACAGATTTTACCTCCCTCCTGGCATTTGCTACACCTTCATCTAGACATCCATTGGTCAGTTTTGGAGATCCTTCACCTACTTGGTCACAAGATGCAGGGTTTGTGTTTGCAGCAGAATTCTCACCTAGGAAATAACTAAAGAGCTATTGAATTATGATGGAAACAGGCTCTTTGTAATTTTACTCATTCTGTCTTCAGGCCAGGTGGTGTACGCCCACAAGTTTGTGGACCTGACGGGAGAGAACCTGACTGATAGCAGCCTGTTTGACGAACACCTGTGCAGTCTGCTGTGTGACCTTACTGGACTGGCCATGGGCAAATACAGCAAGGTGGGTGGTTCATTTCATCTCACTAGATGCAGCAGTGGTATTTCAGAGTTATGTTTTTAAGCTGAAATTCTAAGTGTTTCTCATATAATTGCCACATTTTGTAGTTGGTTAGCAAAAACTGGATCGAAGCTGCACACAGGAGGCATCGCAATGTGCAACAAAAAACATTTTAGTGTAGAATAAAGCTTTAGTTGGCAACTCACTGTGTTTAATTGATCCTGTTTATTTGTAGGTGAGGCCTACAGAGGCGCTGAGCAGCCATCATTACCTTTGCACCTGCACCAAAGAGTTGTGGGTCCTGCTCATGTACCTTCTGGAACACAGGAATAAAGAGTTGCACACACAGGTAACACACATACACGCATGTTCTGTCACACAGTAAACTTTGATTCTGACAGTATTTAACTAATGTGTGCTCCCTTTAGTCTTTCTGGAGCTACATCAACTCGTTGCTGAGGCCTCTGGTTTTAGGAAAACCTGCTGCTGAGCAGTTCAGTGGCCTCCCCACACACTGTAAGGACCCTCTAGGATTCACATGGTGGCTGGTCACTCATT